CCGAGTTCGATTCCTCCGCCCCTCTCGGAGAGCCCGGCAAGCTACCGAGAGTATCTCGCCCACACGTCAGAGCCTGGCAAGATACCCGTGACGTATTCGATATGCCAAACACAGTAACAACAAAATCTCCAATGGAGACGTTACTGGGCCCGCTCGAGCAAATCAATGAACAACGGGAGGGCCTTTACCTTTACCTTTTACCTTTAGTTTTTATTAGTGAAACACCATGAGGTACAGTTGTAGACTTATAAATTTTTGTGCTTGGGTTTCAGTTATACAATGATCAAATACCCATCCCTCCAGCAGTGCCCATTCTCCACCACCAAGGGTCCCAGTATCTCTCCCACCCCCCATTTCCCCATCCCACCCTGCCTCTGTGGCAGGACATTCCCTTTTATTCTCTCTCTCCTTTTGGGTGCTGTGGTTTGCAAAAGAGGCATTGAGTGGCAATCATGTTCGGTCTATAGTCTACTTTCAGCATGCATCTCCCATTCTGGGCGGTTCTTCCCAACACCCTTTATTTGGTGCTCCCTTCTCTATCTGAGCTGTGGGGCCTCACCTTTTAAAGAGAAACTTCTACACAGTGGAGTTGAGGCCTCCCTGGCTCAGCCTTCCTGAGACCAGGCGGAAGTCGTGGGGGGCTGGGGGGGTGCAGCTGTGTGAGCCGAGGCAGGGGCCAGTGTGAGCAGCCACATGACATCAGGGTGGCCTGTGAGACTCCGAGCCCTGCCTTTGCCGTTTCCCAAAACTGACGGGTTGATTAACGCCCAACGGCCGGGCACTTCTCAATAGCCGTGATTAGGAGCCTTATTTTAGTTTCTTCTTCCTTCGGTGCCCTCTTCGGGAAGGGCGCCTGAGGCCCTATTGTTTGGTGTGCGCCCTGGCCTGACCTCCATCCTGGCTTGTCCAGAGGGGTCACTCGTCTGCCTTTGGGTTGCCTCGTTCTCTCCCCAGCCTAGTTCTGGTTGTCTGGGGCCTGAATGTAGTGTTAGGAAGCACGTGTCCTAGAGAGAGGACCGTCCCCCGGCCTTCTGAGTGACCCGTGCGTTACCCTCCTGTGGACGTAGCGCCCCTTCTTCCTTCCCCCAACCCCTCACCCCGAGCCTTGCTTGCTGCCTGCAGTGGTGTGCGAGGATTGTGTCCCCCACGTTCCAGGGGCTTGCGTGAGGGGCCACCTGGCACCGTTAAGGCTCATCCCTTCAAGCAGTACCAAGCCCCTGAGAGAAGTCGTGGGGTTATAAGGAGAAAAGAGGCTTGGGGGTGAGGGGGCGCTGGGGCTGTCGGATGGCACAGGTGCCTGCCGGGCACTCAGGGCCTGCCCTGTGCCACTGGTCTGATGGACATGCAGAGAGCAGACTTCAGATCTGAAAATCTAAGTGGTGGGGGGGGGAGGGGTCACAGTTGAGAGAGGATGCTTCAGCATGAAGGGACGGAGAGACCACAGCCACTCTTGAGTCTGCCCATAGCGGAAGAACCACCGGAGTTTCACGTAATGCCCCTTGGAAATTGATTTCTGCCACCAAGGACCAGGAAGGTGAAACGCTCCGCCTGGCGCCTTTAACCCACTCCCGGAGCTTGTTTTACAGAAAAAATCCATATCTGGCCGGCGGGGCCGACTCATTAGCAGTGGCCAGCTCCGTTCTAATAGGTGAGATGTAACTTCTACCCCCCCCCCCCCCACCACCACCATGGCCTCTGGGAAGTAAATTAGTCAGGAGGTGGTGGGGATAAGGGGGGGGCTGCTTGTGGTTGGGCCCGGGCAAGGGCAGAGACGTCGCCTGGAAATCCTTCCACTGGAGGCAGCAGTTACCTCCTGAGAGGTTTGCTCAGAGGAGAACGAGAAGGAAGCGCTGTTGCTCATCAGAGGAGGGCGCTGGGGACGCCCCCAGAAGCTTCGTCAGCGTGTGGCCCTCTGTGTCTCTCTTCCTGATTAAGTCTGATTAGGTAAGACTTAATTATAGTCCGTCTCATTTAGCGTGGTTACTTGGGCCTTGGAAACAGCTGCTTGAAGAAGCAGTAAGCAAAAAAACGAGCGATAATGAGACTAATTCCACCAGAGGCAAATTGATAGACTAATAAGGCAAACTCGTACGGCATATTTGTGGCCTCAGGAATCTCCCCACCCACCTAAAGAAAGACCCAGAACTCCTCTAACCTCAAACCATCACTGGTGCCGCCTTCCTTTGTCCTCTCACTTGCCAACCCGTGTGTTCCTTCCTGTTCAAGCTCGGGGGTGGGGGTGGGGGGCTGGAGCTAGTCCTGGCCACCCAGGAAGGAGCTTTGGGGCAACGACTGGACACAGTGTGGGGGGGCGATGGGGCACCCCGCTGGGCTTCGGTCCAATTCATAGCCCTGGGCTGATCTCTGCTCTTTAACTCCTGGTTCTCTTTCTTCATTTGGCTACTGGTTCTCCATCCTAACAGAGACCAAAAAAAAAAAAAAAAGCCAGCATCCCTCCCAGGCCCCCTTCCTTCCTTCTCCAGACTTGCCTTCTGTACCCATCGCCCCTTCTCATGTAGGCATAATTTTCTCTTTGACTATTGTTTTGTTTGTCCGTCTGGTGTCACCAAAATGTAAGCGTCACAAGGATTGTTTGTTTTGTTTTGTTTTTGTTTTGTGGGGGGGAGAGGACCACATCCCCAGAACTCTCAAGTCCTTGGGGTGCTGGGGCTCGAACCTGAGCCTCCTGCATGCACAGCATGCACTCGGCCCTTTTAAGTTCTCTCTCTCTACCCCTGCACCATTTTTATTGTTGTCATTTCCACCTAAGTTTCCTGCGTGCTTGGCAAAGCAGGTGTTCAATGAATATTTGCTGATGGCTGGCTGGAAATGTCTCAGTGAGCAATAAATACGCGAGTGGGAGCTGTGGGGAAGTCCCAGCCTTTTGGTACTGTTAGCTCAAAATAGAGAATTTTTTTTTTAATTCTACTTTAGATGAGAGGGGATGGGAGTGATGTGCTGATGGGAGATTGTTTGGAGATTTTCCAGCAATGTCTAATGGTATTTAGAGTGATCCTAACAGCGGTTAGTCATGACAGCTCCGAGAATTCCCTCTTAGGGATCCCTCGGCATCTGCCCAGCCCTGCTGGACCCGGATCTGTCCTAAGGCCCCACGCCCAGCTCACCTCTGACTCTCCTCACGCCTCAGAGCTGGAGGAGCTCAGTGTTGCCTGCCAAGGGATGAAGAAACCAAGGCTCCGAGAAGCGTCCGAGTTCCGCAGCCAGTGGGGGCTAGGAGCTGGGTGCCTGAGGACCAAGCCCTTAGCCACCAGGACCATTCAGTGTTAGCTAGAAGGAGCCGGAGAAATTTGTTTGCTTGCTTTGGGCCACTCCTGGTGATGCTCAGCGATCACTCCTTGTGGGGCTCAAAAGACCATATGGGGTGCCAGAGACTGAACCTGGCTTGGCTGTGTGCACGGTGAGGGCCTTACCCACTGAGCCATCTCTCCGGCCCCAGGAACTGAAAAAACTTTAGGATGAGGCAGGCATCACTCTTTGGCGCCCCTGTGGGGCCAAGAGCAGAAGCCTAGAGGGTTTTCTAAAATCCAAGTCAGGGAAGAGTCTTTGGCCGGCATGGGGTAAGAGCGCCTTTGGCTTCTCACTCAGGTCACCTTCCTAAAGGGGCCTCCCAGGGGATTCCTCTGGAGACAGATCACTAAGCCCTGTCTCAGGAGGCACTGCAGCACCCTAGCCACGCTCTGTCCCCAGCCCCCGAGGGTCACAGAAAGGGTCTCCTTCACCCGCCTCTGCAGCTCCCAGAGGACCTGGCTGGGCTCTGGGCTCCTTTAACGCTGTACCCGTTAAGCGGGCACCAAGCTCACAGCCCAGCCGCTCTGAGTGGGGAGTCCTCGTCCCTCCTGCCCGAAGCAGCCAATCCTCCACATGCCCCCAGCCGCAGCCACCAGGGTTGGTGCGTGCAGGCTCCTGGGCTCTGGGAAGCAGCATGGACGGCCGTGTTGGCACACACCGCGCGCCAGGCCCTGCGCCAGGGCTGTGCTGCGGCCACGATCCCACTTAGTTCTTCCATTCTGAGCATCAGCCGCATCCCAAGGTGTTGGACCGCGGCTGAGCCGCTGCTGAGGCTTGTTGCTCCTGGGACAGTTTTCAGCAGGTGGTGCCGGAACGACCTTGCTGGGCTTTGTGTCTCGCTTCTGCTACCCGCCGGCACCAGCACGCTTCTCCTTCGGGCGCCCTTTTCCATCTTGTCGATTAAGTAAGTCGAAAACAGTCCCAGTACACACAGGGCAGGGTCATGGCCAGGATAGAAGGGGGGCGATGTATGTGAAGCATCTGGTGTCTGCGGCATCGTAAGTGCTGTTTGCTAGTGTCACTATCAACATGCATGATATTAACGTGTAGGTTAAATCCTGCTTATCTCCTCCGGATGATGGGAGCTTAATCTCAGAAGTTTCGGGGCTTCTTTCAAACTCCACCTCCCCACCCCTCCGTCTTCCCCAGGTTGTTTCCTCCTCCCAGGAGAAGTGTCCCCAGTACATCATCCACCAACGGCTTTTAGCGTCACAGTGCTGGACCCTGGGGCGGTGTCCAGAGAAGGCTGCAGGCAGCCACCAGAAGAGCTCAGGGACTGCTGTTGTTTCATCTGTATCAAGCACTGTTTGACTTTAATCCACCAGCAGGGACCCTGCATGTCAGGAATTGGGTAGGGCGTTTGCCTTGCACGCGGCCAACCCGGGTTCGATTCCCAGCATCCCATGTGGTCCCCCGAGCACTGCCAGGAGTAATTCCTGAGTGCTGAGCTAGGAGTAACCCTGTGGATCGCTGGGTGTGACCCAAAAAGCAAAACAAACAAACAAAAGCCAGAGCAACGAAAACTGTTATTTAGTAAGCTTTTCGTTGAGCCCCAAGGAAATGAAAGAAATTAGCACCAGGAACTCCTCAGATCCCCGCCAGAGGCCTGGAGTGTGTCCCTCAACAAGAGCGAGCGGGGCCGTGTGTGTCCCCCCCACCTCCCCTCACTCCACTGTGCGCTTCTCTTTCAGCTCAAGAGTTGGACCGTGGAGGACCTGCAGAAGCGACTGCTGGCCCTGGACCCCATGATGGAGCAGGAGATCGAAGAGATCCGGCAGAAGTACCAGTCCAAGCGGCAGCCAATCCTGGATGCCATCGAGGCAAAGAAGCGGCGGCAGCAGAACTTCTGAGCAGTGCTGGCCCCGTGCGGGGGGAGCTCGTGTCCACACTGACCTTGGGGGCATGGGGGTCCAGGCCGGGCCGGCGTCTCTGTGTGCGTCTGTGGCCCCCAGGCCGTGTGTGTGTGTGTGTGTGTGTGTGTGTGTGTGTGTGTGTGTGTGTGTGTGTGTGTGTGTGTGTGTTGTGTCTGAGCCACCGGGCTTACCAATTCCACGGGCTCCTCCCGGCGCTGTCAAGTCCAAGTTTGAGAGCCCAGGCATGGAGGGAGAGACCTCTGGCAGGAGAGCCGGGCGAGTCTTCCATGGTCTTTGGTTTTCCTCCTCCCAGTAGCAGCTTTCAATCGTTCTTTCGGGAAGACTTTGAAGAAACGTATAAATATGCACATATATACATATATATATAAGTTATGGCCAAGATGCCCCGGGTGGCGGCATCTCTGTACAGGTACAGTCTTCGCCCTTCGCCTCTCTCCTGGAAGATGACGGTACTGTGGAGTTTGCGGGCAGAGGACACCGCAGCCGGGCGCCCCCCGCCCTGCCCCCCCCCAGCTGGCCTCACCCTTCTGCGGGGGGCTGCATTGACAGATTCGGGTTCGGGCCGGTTCTTCCAGCCCGGCTTCTGCCTCGAGAGGGCCAGCCCGGGCCCTGGAGCCATAGGCGGGGTCCCAGGGCAAGCCCCAGAGTGGTCAAGTTTACTTTTTTCTACCCAGGATGAGCCTGGCACCCTCTTTGCGATTTCAATGCCTTTCATCCATTCCTCCCCCTCCTTCCTCCCAGCTGCCTCCAGTCCCAGCTCAGATACTGCCCAGTGCCTTAGGGGAGGAGCCGCGGACGGGGCCGGCCTAGCAGGAGCCCTCAGCACACAGGCCACCGAAGCCCAGGGGCTTCTGCAGCCGTCACTGTCCAGGCAGCGGTCACCCCGTGGCGTGTTTGCTCCACATCCCGTGTAGAATGGGCTGTGAAGGGCATGGCTTGCAAAGTCCACATTCAAACAGGTGCCCTCTCTCTCTCTCTCTCTCTTTTTTTCTTTTTATGCTCAGGGCTTGGGAAAGGATAAACCAAGACCATACTAAGATTCATTCTCCAGGAGACTCGGCCCAGACCCTGGGGCCCGCCAGAGCTGTAAGGGACCACAGGCTTCGGGGCAGAGGCCACGGCCAGAAAGACCGAGCAAGAGAAGGCAGGAGCAGGAAGTAGGCCTGGGGCTCCTTGCTCTTGGTTCACGGGACTGTTATCCCCTTCTCCGAGGGAAGAAAGGATTTTTTTTTCCTTGACCGAAACCCAGTTTCAGTCAAGGGTTCCAGGAGGTGGACACTCGCCAGGCGAGCGGCCAGGAAGGGATTCCCCTGCGGAGACGCATAAGCTTCGAGACAAGGTGGGCGGATTTAAGGCATCCCGCAGGGTTTTCAGGAGATAGTGCTGTCTCGTCCACGGCCCTGGCATGAGGCTGCATGTCCTTTGCGTGTCCTCTGCTACCCCGCTGGGCGATGCCAGCTCTTCCGAGAGCTCTCCCCTTGGGTAGGGGTGTCCGGGCCGCGTTTCACCTTAGGGTACTGTGACTTGACTCCATGATAGCTTTCATTTCCCCCAACTTGGGTGTCTCTGGGAAGGCGGAGAGGAGGTCCCTGGTCTTGCACCCAGATGCTCTTCTTTGCTCTGGGAAATGAATTTTACAGATTCACGCAGCAATTGTTGATCTGCAGAGCTGGGCCCGTTAAACCAATCGGAGGCTGGAGGGCGGTTCAGAATCCCCCTTGATTAAAGTCAGTGCAGCCAGCACCCCCCTGCCAGGCAGTGGGCTGGGTAGACTGCATGTCAGCTCCGGGCTTCACCCTCAGTCTGAGTTAGAGGTGAAGAAGCAGGCGCCGGAGAGGGCAAGGCTCTCTTGTCTCGCCAGGATAGCCAGAAAGTGGTGGAATGAGTCTCTCAGCACCCCCGGGGGAGTCTGTATGTGCAGGGAACATCCGTGATCTTTTTTCTTTTCTTTTTAAAAGTTTCTTTGGTTTGGGGGCCACACCTGGCAGTGTTCAGGGGTTACTCCTGGCTCTGTACTCAGGTGTAACTCCTGGTGGTGCTCAGGAGACCATACATACAGGAAGCCAGCCAGGGTCAGCCCTGTGCGAAGCAATCCACCACCCTCTCTTGCAGAGACTAAATTAGCTGACCTTTCTGATGGGGAAGTAGCTGAAGTCCGAGAGCCAAGCGAGTTTGAAAGATCAAAACTGGAGAGCATGCCTCACTGCCGCTCGGTGGCTTTTTAAAAACTCTTTTTTTTTTAAAGACTCTGCACTTGGCCGGACAGGACAGGGACTGCCCGTCATCTCAAGCGAGATGCAAGTTACAGGAGGTCCCTCTGTCCCCTGTGAAGGTTTGCGGCTCTTGCCTTGAACTGGCTTTTGTTTCCAGCCTGTGCCCATCCCCCACACAGGTCCCTCTGAGAGCGTCGCGCTGGCTCTCGTTTGACACCATTTCAGGCCAGAAGCCAGTTTCCTTTGGATCAGTTTCCTGACAAGGTCCACTGATCTGCTGGTGACAGGCGGAGAAACGCGTCCTAGTCGTGTCCTGGTCGTCTCGCCCTTTGACTCCTAACTGCAGGGCGGGTCAGCAGAGCGTCAGTCCCTGCATGAGCCTTTGTGACTCCGTCTCCTCAGGAACCCTTAGCCCCTGACCCCTTCTCTCCTTCTGAGAAGTGAGCCACGCTCGATTTCTATCTTTTTTGAAAAAAAAAAAAATCTAAAATTCTCTAGGAATGTCTCAAACGATTCCTCATCTTTACAGGAACTGTAAAGCAAATGTCTATTTTTCTCTTTGCCTCTGTTCTTTCTCCCAGCCACTGGTGACGTGAGCAGATGAGTGTTTGGCTTGCTGGCCTAGTTCTTTAGCTTGTCGGATAGAGACGCGAACCAGTACTCTGAAGCAAATTAAGAGCTGTAGGGGCGGGTCGGGGAGACTGCTCAGAGGGCACCTCACATGCCTTCCGTGTAGAGGCCTTGAGTTGATCTCTTGATGACCACCTACTCCCCCCATAGCACCCCCTGCAGTGTGATACTGCCAGGAAGCCGCCTCCCCCCACCCCAAACGGACTATAGCCTCAGCTTCTTGCAACTATAGACTCTAGTCCCGGCAACACTTTTTTTTTTGTTGCTCTGTGCCGTTTCCACAGACCAAGTTGCCTCTAAGACTGCGGCTCCCACTTTCTGTCAAACGGTTCCCACCTAATTCTCACCCCATACTCCATTCTCTCTTAGGCACTGCCTTTGCGTTTTCATCAGGACTGTATTCATTGTCTTTGCAATTTATGTTCTTTTTTTTTTTTGTATCTACCAGATGTAGGTAGGTACCAAAAACTCTTAAAACCAAATCACTTTGCCCAGTGTCAGAAATGAGAAATATGACCTCGTTATAGATAACTAAAAGTCTAGCAACAATATTCTGAACAACCTTATGCTCAGGTGGGCAAATTCCTTGCAAGATACAAAGTATCCAGTTCACTGGGCAAATACAGTCAGAATAGCCCTAGGCCTGTTTACAGGTAAGAAATGTGAGGCTTAGAGAAAGTCTGTCGCTCCCGGTCATTCCTGGCCATGTCACCTCACAGGTTCTTCTGATCCTTTCTGCAGTGCCCTTTCCACAGACCAAGTTGCCTCTAAGGACTGCGGCTCCTACTTTCTCTGTCAAACGGTTCCCACCTAATTTTCACCCCGTACTCCATTCTCTCTTAGGCACTGCCTTTTCATCAGGACTGTATTCATTGTCTTTGGAATTTATGTTCTTACTTGAGTTTGGGGGAGGAAAAAAAAAAGTCTCTTCCGCCAACCTGCACTCAGACCAACTTTGGGGGGGAAAAACAAAAACTTCAATGCTGTTTCAGATGTACAGCTTAAAAATGTGAAGTTTGTAGCTTTAACTTTTTGTAACAAAATGATTAACACTGGCCGAAATGCTGACTAGAAATGCTATTTTATAAGGTCTGGATGTAAATAATTAATTGAAGTCAGCAGTTTGTGTATGTATAAGAAGTAGCTTCTTCCATTGCCTTTTTTCACCCTCATTTGAACACCTCTTGTGTACTTTTATGAAATTTTTATTTTCTCTCCTTCTTAGATTTTTGTCACCTTTGTCTTAAATAAACTGTCCTTTGGATGATGTAGTGTCCTCTTTCTACAAGTGAATTCTCCTTCTGTGGCCAGTGTGATAATTGGGTGAGCCTTTGTGGCAAGCCACTATACTGTGTTTATTCTTGATTCCAAAGCTGGAGGGTGGAAATCTGGGAAGGAACACGACATGGGAAAGTTTCCTCAAGGACACAGGACTGTAAGTATAAGGGGTTCCCCAAAGTTCCACTCCACACCTTTTTGTTGCAAATGGATGAGCAAAACACCATCCCGGCTGATGATGAGTGAAGTCACGACATTTGAGAACCCTGTTTTTTTTTTTTCATGATCCATTTCCTTCGAGTCATCATTTCTAGTAACTGATTGACAGTGTTTGATCAGCATAGTTCTGTGCTGTGATAGAAGGCGTAGCTGGCCCTTCTGTGTCCAGTCAGTTCTGGTTTGTCCAGGGAAGCTTTTCCGGACCAAGTAATAGACCCTGTGCTTTAAAAATGAGGATGAGGGGCTGGAGCAATAGCACAGCGGGTAGGGCATTTGCCTTGCACGTGGCCAACCTGGATTCGATTCCCAGCATCCCATATGGTCCCCTGAGCACCACCAAGGGTAATTCCTGAGTGCAGAGCCTGAAGTAATCCCTGTGCATCACTAGGTGCGACCCAAAAAGCCAAAAAAAAAAAAAAATGAGGACGAGATAGGTAGGCAGAGGACGGTGGCAGGTGAGGGATAAAAGGGGCCCGGGGCAGGGGTCCACCATGTACCTGAGGGAGGAGTCTGCATGTAGCATCCCCTCGACATGCCTTCACTCCCGTGTGTTAGATGAAACTCAGCCAGCATGGCCTGGCCTTGAGCAGGGAGAGGAGCATCCTGACCTCTTGTTGGCCCAAGCCCATCCTTGTAATTCCGTAACTCAGTCCTGGGTTTTGAGTCTTTATGTTTTGGTTTGATTTGGGGGCCACACCCAGCGATGCTCAGGGCTCACTCCTGGC